ATGAAATATTTTTGAAAGCAAGATTCTGGGACAGAAAAGAGAAAACAAATTCAAGACAGATTTAGGGAGTACATTTGGTGACCTTTGGTGATTACTGGTTGTCAGAAAGAGCCACTGAGGAAGAAGACAGACATTAGGTTGTCTCCCAGATTTCTAATTTCTATGACTGGTAGTACCTGAGTTCACTGAAAGAAAGAATATAAGAGAAGCAGGTTGGGTGGTAGGGAGAAGGCTTTGGCCAGGAGAAGCTCCAGAATTCCATTCAGAAGAAATGTAGGGCAGCAGGACCATAGGATTTGTCTCAAACTATGTTTGCAAAATAAGCGAACTGATTTTACTATACTGAATGTTTAAATATGTACAATGGTATAGGTAAGCTTCATGGCAGATTTATGGGGACACTACAACCCTACCATCCTGTTTGTAGGATGGGACATTATATTAATTGAGAGTCTTCTGGTTGCAAATGACAGAAACCCCCAATGTATGTATGTATGCATTTTTGTTGTGCTGGGGATTAAACCCAGGGCCTTATGCATGCTAGGTAAGTGCTCTATCTCTGAGCTACACCCTCAGCCCAACCAACTCCCAATTTAGACAAGTTCTGGGATAAAAGGGACTTTTATCAAACCAAAGAAAAGGTAAGCATGGAGCCTTGAAATGTTTAGATCCAAGGACCCTCCTGTCAGTGGAACTCTCTGTCCCTCTCATTTCTAGTCTTTGCTTCTTGGTGCCTATTGGCTTTGTTCTTTCCTAGCAGACAGACTTTCTTAGACTCATTTTTCCAGCTCAGCTACCACTGAGAAAAGACAGTACCTCTCTTTGAGCTCCAGTTTTAACATACTCTTGGGGAAGGTTCTGATTGTTCTGGCTTGGTTCACAGACCCAGTTCTCAAGGGTAGGGTCTGTACTAGGAGAAAGACTAAGAGGAGCACACAAAGCCCTTCCTCCAACCTGTGAAACAGGTGGATTTGGATGGCAGTGGGACATCCAGGTAAGACAGTAGGGCAAAACCAGGACATGTGAATTGAGACTCTGAGGAGAGAACAAAACTGAAAACATAGGATGTTTAATGGCTCAGAAAAGTAGTTGATTGCCTTGATAAAATTAATGGCAGGTTGTACCCCATAAGTTGAGTAAATGGATGAACTTATGATTGTTATTCTCAGATAACCTTTCAGCTGTATTTTATAGAAACTGAATTGTGATTGGACAGTGACATTCATAGTTACAAAATAAATGGTTTGGGGGCTGGAAGTGTGATTCAATGGTAGAGCACTTACATAGTATGTGTGAAGCCTGATTTCAAATCCTAGCATTGCAAAAGCAAAACAACAACATAAAAACAAAATAAATGCTTTTTTTAAAAGAAAGCAAATCTCAGAATAGTATATACAATATGATTCCAATTATGTAAAACATATCGTGTGTAATCTGTGTGGGTGTGTGTAAAAGCATAGATCCGTGTTTCCCAGACTTCATATGCACACAGAACTGCTGTTTCCCAGACTCTAGATAACCGCACTACAACCTTGGCAGTTTTATCCTATCCATCTGGAAGTGCTTGATGAGCAACTTTGAATATTTTCTCAAGTGAAAAGTCTTATAGGAAAAATACAATTCATGCTTGTGTCAAAAGTCAGGTTCTTTATCTTTATTTATAGTCAGCCATTTTTCCCCTGTATGCAGTCGGCAGGCACTTTGAAGACGTGCTGCAGTGTAGCCACAGCCCTCACTCCTGCTACATTTCCAAATTCTTGCACCTTGCACATTCATAAAAAAATCGGATAGGAAAACAAGTGAAAATAAATAATATACAAACAAGCATTCTGTGCCTTCTCCTTCTCTCACTTTAACTAGGCTCTCAAACCCTGCGCCTTCATCATGATGAGATTATTCCCTTAAAGCTTTCATATTTCTTTTTTCCCTCTGGCTGAACTGATTTCTTCCATTCATTGAGACCTGAGTTCAAATGTCACCTCTCAGAATGGTCTTCTCTGACCACCCAATCAAAAGCAACAGATCAACCCAGCGCTCTGTTTTATTGTTCCATAGCACTCACTAGCTCAGATTCTACTGATTATGTATTACTTGTTTATTGCCTTTCTCCTCCCTTTAAAGTGTAAACTTTACCAAAGCAGAGACTTTATCTCTGTGTCATCCTCCATACCTACAACAGAGCCTAGCCACTCAGAATGTTTGTGGCGTGAAAAATTATATTGATGGTCCCTGATTTAGATGATTTTACTTAGGATTTTTCAGCTTTACAAGCACAAATATGGCATGAAACTCAATAGAAACTGTACTTTGTATTTTGAATTTGGATCTTTTCATGATCTAAAATAGGCAGGGCAATCCTCTCTCCATGCAGGGCAGTGACAGGGAACCACAGCTCCTAGTCAGCCCTGAAAAACAACAGATGCTCTACAATGTTCTGTGTTGCTAAGTTGTGACGTTGGGTAGGTTAGGACAGTGTATTTTTCATTTACAATATTTTCAAATTATGATAAGTTTAATGGAACAAAACCCATGGTAAGTCAAGAAGCATCTATACTGCTCAGGTTGTCTGAGTGGTTTAAATGTGAGTGGAATGCTGAGAAAGAGTATTGTACAATGGGATTGTCCTGGGAAAGCCAAAGCTCAGGAAAGCCTAACCCAATACTTGAGGGGGTTTCCCAATTGGAGTTCCATATTCTGAAAAACCTATGTGGCCCTTCCCCAGGCATATTCAATTCAGAACCCATTCTTCATGCCATGTTGTTATCATGATAAGTCTATCTTCATGCCAGTGTCACACCTTTAAATAGTCAAAATATTTCTTAGAAATAATCTGACATATGATATTTACCTATCTGGATTGACTGATTCCTACCCTCTAAAATGTAAGTTCCGTGAGAGTAGAGGTTTTTATCTGTTGAATTCACTATCCTGTTTTTAGGGTCTAGAACAAAACCTATCACCTAATAGATACTAAATAAATATTTGTTGAAAGAATGAACAAGCAAATGAACAAACAATTACATCCACAAATCCTCAGTGAAGAAGGATTAATAGAAGAATAATTTGGAAAATGTTAATGACATCAAATTTTGATCTGTGTGGTTCATATTTCTGAACTATTTATATATTATTTGTTGTAGCTGCTGGTTTTCCCAGTGAAATTTTTGAGGATAGGAAAAGTGAAGGGATTAAGAAAATGTGGCAGGAGTGAGGACTCTGGCTTCTGACCCCATTGTACTGGTGATAATAATAACTAACATTTGTATTTCAATTTTCTTCCAGAAGTTGTTGCATTTGATTTCTAAAATATCCCTCTGGGTAGGTGTTTCCACCATTGTTTTCAGATTTATAACCAGGTTTAGAGAGACTCTTCCAGTATCACTCAAGTAGTATAAAAAATCCTCCATTTAAATTCTGGTCTTATCATGTCAAAGTCCAGGTCTATTCCACAGCACCTGTCTGCCTTCCTAATTGATTTTGCACAGTGAAGAAGCCACTTCCCTTTCCAGGACTCAGTTACCACATTCAGAAAATGCCTGGATGATCTCTTAGGTTCCTTCCGATTTTAAGTCCTATGATTTTATGAACCTTTCTCCCCCACTATTTTTTTTTGGGGGGGGACCATACTGTGGATTGAATCCAGGGGCACTCTATCACTGAGTCACATTCCCATCCCTTTTTATTTTGAGACAAAATCTCTCTAAGTTGCCCAGACTGGCCTCAAACTTGTGATCTTCCTATCTCAGTCTCCCAAGTAGCTAGGATTGTCAGCATACACCACCACAGCCAACTTTCCCTCCCTATTGTCTAGTTTAAAAACTGTTGTAGCTTTAAGAAGTACTAAAATAAAGCTGGCCACAGTGATGCAGCCAGCAGCAGCTCAGGAGGCTAGGCAGAAGGATTGTAAGTTTGAGGTCGGCCTGGAGAACTTAGAAAGAACCTGTCTCAAAACAAAAAATAAAGGGTCTGGGTTTGTAGCTCAGTGGTAGTGTGCTTGTCTAGCATGTGTGAGGCACTGGGTTTGATTCTCAGCACCGCATATAAATAAAGAAAGAAAGAAAATAAGAGTCCACTGACAACTAGAAAAGTAATAACAACAATATAAGTAAAAATTAGAAAGGTCTGGGGATGTATATAGTTCAATGGTAGATATCTCTTGGTTCAATTCCTAGTACTGAAAAAAAAAAGTAGTAACATAATGAAATTTTATTTCTTTTGGTAATTTATAGCTATTTCAAATTCTGATTCAGGTGTTTAAAATCAGATATAGACAACCCCCACTTCCACCCATTTTTTTTTTTTTCAGTGCTGGGTGTTGAGTCTAGGGCCTCATATGTGCTAGGCAAGCATTCTACCATTGAGCCCACTCCCAGCCCATTCCTTTACTTTTTCAAAAAAATGTTTATTTATTTATTCTAATTAGGTATGTATGACAGCAGAATGCATTTTGAGTGATTGTACACAACTGCAGCACAACTTTTCATTTCTCTGGTAGTATGTGATGTAGTCTTATGAAATGCTTAAGAAAGAGTATCTTAAAAAAGAATGAATTGGTTTTGTTAAGCATGGTACTTCAGAAGGGTTTTCATTATTTTTTTTAATGTTATGAGGATTTTACTCTGACTTTATTTGAAGACAAACAAAATGGGACGAAATATAGCAACATTTCTAGCTATAAAGACATTTAGAGCAGAATAAAAAATAAATGAATTTGAAATATTTGGCTACCAAGTAACTAAACAAACCTTGGTGAAAATACAAAGCAAGGCTTAGTCTTTAGCTTACTATATACCTGGTAAATTCCTTTATGCAAGATGTTTGTATTACATATAAATCTTTCTGTTAAAATAAGATGATTAAACTTCTATTGAGCAATAGAAGAAGTGAACTATATTTCTTGTTCTTAGGAAGCTTAGTTTTGTCTCAGACTGTTATTTATGGCCATCTAGAAGTAAACTACTTTTGGTGTCACATGAAAAAACTATACACAGAAAAATATGTTATTTGCACATCCTTTTTTGAGTTTTATTTTACTAAAAAGTAGAATTCACACGGGCCAAAAAACAAAAACAAAAAAATACCAAATGAACAAAAACCATGCAAAATAGTTTTGTGCACACCTCTAACATGTTACACTCCACTTCTGAAATCTTACCCGCCCCCACTCCCAGGGAAAGAAAACACACACAAAAAATAGGAAAGGTATCATATGTTGAAAAGTTAACATTATAAAAGCTAGATTCCTAACACAAACACTGCAGAACAAAGTCACTCCTTTACAAAAAGTTAATGTTTATCAGTGTTAAATTAATGTCATATAAAGCAATCAAGAACTATAGATTCAGTGTGCTCCTTACCATGAACTATTAAAAGTTATGTCTGGTGTTGTAGGACACCCATGATATTAACTTGAACTACACCGTCTTAATCTTGACACTACGCCAGACTCACAGAAAACAGGTGAACCACACTCAACACTACCTCCTTTTCCTGCTATCTTTAAGGTTTGTTTGTTTTGTTTGTTTGTTTGTTTTGGTGGTGGTTGTGTTTGGTTTTTGGTTTTGTTTTGCAGTGCTGAGCATCAAACCCAGGGCCTGGCACATGCTAGCAAAGCACTCTATCACTGGGCTATATCCCTCAACCCTTAAAAACGTTTTATTGCTTGTTTGCTTATTTTTTTGGCAAATAAGAGTCTCAGGATCCTGAGCTCTGAAATGTGGGGGAAATTTTTCAATAGAGGACTAAGGTAAAACTGTCCTTTAAGATATTTCCATATTTCCCTTTTTTCTTTTTTTCCCCTCTAGTACTGGGGATTGAATCCAGGAGCACTCTGTCACTGAGCTAAATCCCCAACCCTTTAATTTTTTATTTTAATACAGGGTCTAAATTGCCCAGGTTAGCCTTAAACTTATGATTCTCTTGCCTCAGCTTCCCAGGTAGCTGGGATTACAGGCATGTACCACCACACCTGGTTGATCACACATTTTTTAATGAACACTTGCATAAAACCTTTAAAAAGAGATTTTAGAAACTCTAAAATGTTTTTCTTTCCTCCAGAACAGTTGCTGATCACTTAGTAGATGATTTTCTGGACAAAAACCCTGCTTAGAGCCTTTCTATGTAGTAGCAAGCTTCTTGTCCCTGTATATTTGAACTTTCCAAGAATAACAGAATACTCCAAGGTACTTGTTTGCATCTCATGCAAAATTTCCAGGCTGTTCCAGCAAAATTTACTCTCCTTGGTGCTTTGTGTTTACTTTCTTTACTGCATCAAAATAAAAAAAGTGCCCTCTGGTAGGAGCACATTTATGCTCCTCCCTAATGGTGCCAGGAAGGGCCGATGGCCTTGCACTTGGACAAAGTATGGGCTTCCGCTAGGGACATGGCCAGCTGTTTCATTGTCCCTCGGGGAGAAGAGACACACTCTGGTAGAACGGCAGTCCCCTGGAAGTTCTCAGCAGAAAAAAAGTCCTAATGTATTCCTGTAAAACATTTCAAACGTGCAAAGAGAAAATTCAACACAAGAGTGAGGAGACATTATCAGAGAATAGGAAAAATGCCTAAATATTGTGCTCCAATCCAAAACATCCATGCAAACTGCTTGCTTCAATGCCATATTCTATGAACATCTTAATAGTGTTTCCTAAAAAGGAAAGAGAGCATTTGGTCTCCAACCTCAGAAATAAAGCTTCTCATTTTATTGCCAAACAGCTTTAAGTAATGATTACTTAACTCCAACTATCACCTATATTGCAAAGAAATTAAAGGCTCAAGTCTATTCCATTAAATACTTAAATAACTGCTAGATCAATACACCTTATACATTCTGAAAATATTGGCCAAAACAGCAAAACATCCTTCTTTTCCTTCCAGCCATCAAGATGACTGTACATAATCAGTGTGCTGCATTTAAAGGAATATATGTATGAAAAGGATGGTGCAGACCTGAAGATCCTGCCAGCTCATGCGTTCTTACTGAGGTTGGCAGAAAGTAAGGTTCCTCTTCCCCACCCACAGTTTGGGCGTGTTAGCCTGTTCTGCCATCCTGTGTCAGACACTGTCTTTTCTTTCCACAGGCCATGGAGCCTGTTTGGGGGGTAGGGGTGCTGAGGAAGACATTATAAGTGAGCAGTTGCAGGTAGGGAGTGAAATACATGCAGAGGACACTCATGCTTAGGAATCTCTTAAAGCAAAACAAGGGTCAAACGCAACCCAGAATCTTTTAAACTCTCCTCTCATACACTACAAAGCTAAACTGGAAAAACCCAATTCCACTTCTCCTTCACAATTCAAAAAGGAGCTAAGCCTTCCAGGGACATGGGATATTTCAAACTGAAAGAGGGAAGCTGAAGGGCCCATCCTTCCTTGGCTGTTAGCAGCATGAACCAGAGCTCTTCCTGGAGCCTTGTCAACCGCCCAGTGGCTCCCAGAAGACACCTCTTCTGACATCTGGGCTCCTTTTAGACATTTCAAGTTTGTTCATGGCCTGAAGTCTGATGTGCAGAGGTAGCTCCATGACGCTAGTAATGGAATAACACTTCCTTTTTTGGCGAGGAAAGCCCAATTGGTCTTAGCTAACAAGCTCTCAGTTATGGCTCTAAAAATACCCTGCAGCAAGCACTGTTTGGCACTTCGTTTTGTTTGCCAGAGGAGCTCTACAGAACACAGAATGCTTCGGATTCTCCATGACTGCTCTGAGCTCTGTCCCTGCTCTGATGACAGCAGGGAGGTGTATCACTTTGGGAAAGCTGCTTTTCATTTTTCACTTTTGAGTTCTTGGAATCCTGTCTTAAACGTTTGAAGTGCAATTCCAGTCTTGGATTAATTACTAGCTTGGTTTAGAATCTTCATTTGGCTTCTAGTCTGAACTATGCAAATACACGATATGTGTACAGAAGAAAAGACTAAAATTATACTTCAAAAGAGCTCAATTGCTTCCTCTCTTCCCCCTTTTCCCCCCAAAAGAAATATCAGCCTCCTCGAATCCTTCGTTGTCAGCAGCAGGAGCAGCCTGGGGCCTCGTCTGCACCAGACGCCCTTGGCTCCCTACACATTGATGGCATGTGCGTGCTTCTTGCACAGGGGCTTGTCCTTCTTGGAGTAGAACGGCTGCCCTTCCAGATTCACATGGCAGACCTGGGACAGAGAACAGACCAATGTGAGATGGGGCCTTGTAGCCAACATGGTGGAGGGGGCAGGAACAGATTTCAGTCACCCCTTTAAGAAAGCAATGTCATATGCAGCTGGGGGAACAAGCTGTTGCCTGTTTCTCCCCACTATGAATTCTTAATTACTGAAGCAGAGTACATAAGACGAACTATATAAAAATGAAGACTTCCAAAGAAGAACATGGAATAAAACTTAAATTAGATTAATTAAACTTAATGGGATATAGAATATATGTGTTGAAGATGTCCAATTTATGCTATCCAAAGTGTATAAGGAACCAATACAAGTTCAAAAGTTGGTACCCACAGAGAGGAGCAACATCTAAGCAAATACTATTAATAAACTAACAAACACATCAGAAAAGATTACCCTCATCAATAAAAAATTAGAAACTTCCTGAGATACCACTGGACACCTAGTAATGTAGCAAAATAAGTAAGACAAAAAACTTCCATGACTTTTCATCCTTAACCTTACATGACATTAGCCAAAAATTGGGGTGGGAGTAGGAGGAGTAATCAATGAAAAATCAGCAATACCAAAAGGGAATAGACCTTAAAGATTGCTAGGGACACATAAATCAGCTTGATGTTCTACAGGGGGTGTAGCAACATTGAATAAGAGCCAAAAGATGTGCCTACCCTATAACCCAGTAATGCCACCCTGGAGAATTTAATATTGCAGAAACAACTGCACAGAATAAGAAAGCAGTGTATGCTCAACTAGAAACCTAAAACTATTAAATTTTCTCTTAATAGGGAGATGATTAAACAAATGTTTATGGTCTATTTTTCTAATGGAATATTCACCATGAAAAAAAGATAAATCAAATAAGGAAGGGTGTATGTAGAGAAAAATACCAGGAAAAAAAGCAGAAAAAATTATGTATTCCCATGATGACAATATATGAATTGAGTTTGAGACTGGAGACATTCTAGAAGGAAGGGAACTAATTAATCTTTGTTGAGGCTGTCATGGGTGAAGCAGGATGTTAAACTCTATATATACATGGTCTCATTTAATTGTCATCCAAACTTCATGGGTGAGGTACCCCTTTCCCCCATTTCACAATTGAAGAATGGGCTCAAAGAGCAGAAATGTCTTGCTTAAGTCAGAGACCTAGTCAACTGGAGAGCTGGGAATCATGCCCAGGGCTGTAAGGACCCAGTTTCTAGCTAATTTTCCCCACACCTCATAGCAGAGAGGGGCTATGTTTACTTGGAATTGTTCTGAGCTTGCAGATTTTCCTTCTAAGTTTGTTGGAATACTAATATGTAGCCTGCCCCCAGAAAGATAATATGTCAGCATTGACTAGGAGGTCACATTGACTGGGATGTTCCAGGATGTTCTAAGGATGGCCCCAGCCTTATAGAAGACTCTGAGCATCCCTACTGGGGAGAACAGTTGAGGGCCACATCTAGGACTCTGGCATTAGAACTGCAGGGGTCTCTGTATACAGATGGGGATAGAGAGGGAAATCATGCAAACCCCACACATAAGGATACAGAAATCATCTTTCTGAGCTGAGCTTGAGTCAGTGAGCATCTCTTCATTCCAGGAGAGTTGGAGAGGAAAGGGGCACAATGATATCCTCACTGGGGAGATTATACCTGGGGTTGTATATGGCTGCCAATGGGCCATGGAAACCAATAAGCTGAAAAAATATCTGATAACGTCACTAGTCAATGCAGCAATGATGAGTGTAACCAGGTACCATGGTTTGGTTTGTTTGTTTCCTAAAGATTCATATGTTGGAAGCTTGGCCTTTGGTGTGAAGATATTAAGAGGTGAGACCTTTAAGAGGTAGAATCTTATGGCAGGTTTTTAGATCAGTTTGGGGCTTGCCCTTGAAAGGGATTAAAATATTCCTCTTAGGACCTTAGTTTTTACAAGACAGACCTCACCAGAGCTGAGACAATGCCAGTACTCTGCCCTTGAATCTCAAAAGCCATGAGCTAAATAAACCTCCATACTTTATAAAGTTGGTCTACCTTGGGTATTGGTTATAGTAATGCAAAATTGACTAATAAACCAGGTTCTCATGGATGCCTCAAGTTGCTGGTGACAACTTGCAAACAAGACCAAGAAGGTGAACATACAAGGTCTAACTCATGAGAATGGGTTTCAGGGGAGATATAAAAGCAGCTCTAGAGTGAGTTTGATACCTCACAGCTCTGGCTGTTCTGGGACAATGCTGGTCGTTTGTGAGAGTTTCAGGATGAATCAGGTGGGAGGGTGTTGGGGGACTGAAGACTGAGGAACAAAGAGAAACACAGTCTCACAGGTGGCTGATGAATAAAATGGGTCTCAGGGCTAGAACACAAATAGTGAGTTGTGCTCAGTGCCTTCTTGGTGCAAGGTGACATCATGGTGGAGGAGGCCATCAGACCGCCCAGAGCAGGGAGACAGCAGGGAGGGTCCAACCCCAAGGCTCAGAGTCAGCTGGCATCAGATCTCGCTGTGGAGGAGTAGTGGCCATGGACAGTGCTGATCATAGTCCCAGCAGAGTGAAGACAGTGAAATAGACCGTTTGTGGCAGCTTCAAGATTACCTCCCAAAGTTACACCACTTCCCACATCCTCCTGATATCCACACCAGTGGGAAGGGACTAGAAACCAATTAGACTTAGAGGAAAAGAGGGACCAATAAGAATTTTCCCTCACTAAGGTAGGACCAAATCCCTTCCTTTGGAACTCAAGGGCCAAAGCCAAACTGGAGCTTAATCTCACCCTGATCCACCTTCTTAGCTCCCAGATTTCATTTCATATGCTTTGGATTTTAGAGATTATTGTCTTGTTCTGTACTTTAATTGCTTGTGTGTGTTAGCTTCATTCTCCATTTCAAGATTCTAGATTATATAAAGGTGAAGACTTGCTCTGGGATATTCTTGTATTCTCCAAACTCAGGGAACGTTTGGTCAACTGAATTTGTCTGAATGTGGTATCCTGAGATCTAAGAAAATAACACATCAATGGAAGAACTAGTCTGGATCTTCTTTCTTAATAGTTTCTTTTTAAGCTATAGGAAAATACATGTTCATTAAAAGTCATTTGAGAATGTAATGTGATAGAAAGAAGACTACCCCCTAATCTAGGTTAGGGTTTGGCTCAGTGGTAAAGCACCTACCTAGCACGCACAAAGCCCTCTGTTTGATCCCCAGCACAGGAAAAAAACAAAAACAAACAAACAAACAAACAAACAACAACAACAACAAAAAAAAACCCTGCAAGTTTTCTGATCAAAAGATTTCCTTCCAGAGATCAAAACCATGTTCCTCTTTGCAACATCTCAAGGGGGCAGTGAGTGACACAGAGGGCTAGTTTACAGGAAGGCCTAACAATCTCCTTGCTTATTCTTTAAAGGATGGAGCTACTCAATTTCTTTGATCAAATCCACTGGACAGATTCATAGGTCTCTCACATCTGACTAGGTTTAATTCTCTACAACTCATTTATAACACCAGCCTGAAACACCTCAAGCCTTGTATCTTCTTCTGGTTTCTAGGACCTGTGCTATTGTGGCTTGAGGGAGCCGACCCTTGATCACCTTGCCATGGTTCCCTTTCCATGCAACACAGCCCTCTCATCATTCTGCCTCTGGATAAGAGTCCTTCTGTGCCACTGTCTTCCTGAAATTTCTCCAAGTCTTTTGGATCCTTCTAAAAGTTAGGTAGCCAAACTTGCAAGCAGTGTCTCAGGATCAGACAAGTCATGGGTTGAAAGTAAGGGTCAGAGAGTCCTGTGCTATGTCTGGGCTGAACCATAGCTCTGCAGGAGACAACCCATTGCCCTGTTTTAGAAAGGGAAGCCCTGAGGTATTTAGAGGACCTTAAAAGACAACTGAAGAATCTATTCAAAGAGCTGGAAAATGAGAGTGTTAAAGAGTTGAATTGTGTCCCTCAGAATTCATATGTTGAAGCTGGGCAGAGTAGCACATGCCTGTAGTGTCAGTTACTTGGGAAGCTGAGGCAGGAGATGGAGGCCAGGCTGGGCAACATAGGGAAACCATGTCTCGAACAAAATAAAACAAATTTATATGTTGAAGTCCTATTCCCAGTACCTCCAGCCTTCCCAGCACATGGATGCAGCAGCAACCTTATTTGGAAATAGTCTTTGTGGACACAATTCAGATGTAAATTGAGGTCATACTGAAATAGGCCCTTAGTCCAATATGATCTATGTCTATATATGAAGAGGAGAACTTACAGAGTCAGATACATATACATGTAAAGATTCAGACACAGCCTTGGGGGCAGAGAGTAGCTGCAAACCAAGAAATGCAATAATTGTGGCAACCACCAGAAGCTAGGAGAGAGGGCGTGGCCACCTCTCTGCACGTTGATTTTGGACTTCTGGCCTCCTGGACTGTGAAAGAATACATTTCTGTTGTTTAAATCATTGGTTTATTATGGCAGCTCTAACAAAGTAATACACAGGGCGAATACAATGCATCCCACAAATAGTAGAGGTCTTGAAGTGAAAAATAGGAGCTTATGGCAGTAAAATTCATGACTAGGATTGTTCTGTATCACAAGAGATTATCTTGTGATATATCAAGGGGGCAGTGAGTGATACACAGGGCTAGTTTACAGGAAGGCCTAACAATCTCCATGCTTATTCTTCAAAGGACAAGATCTACTGAATGTCTTTGATCAAATCCACTGAGCAGTCTTATAGTTCTCTTATAGCTCTAAGAGATTATTCAAGTTTAAACTGCATGGATATTTCATACATTCCCAAGATCTACCTTGAAGAACTCTGGTTTTGTTTTTTATTTATGGTAGCACATTCTTTTCTCAAATAAAGTAAGTTCAATTATAAATTGATATTACAGGGCTTTGTAAGGGATGATTATTTCCTATCTCCATCTTCAGGGTCTAAACATTTGTAGGCTCAGCATCATGTGCCCACCTCGAACCAAAGCCCTTTAAAGGAAAATGTCAGTCTCATAGTAAAATGACCCAGCTGTTCGGCAGAAATAAATCATACACTGTTAATAGTTAATCTAAGGCTTATCTACAGGCAGCTGTATATCAAGAACAGGACCACTTAGGAAAATAAAATGATGACTCAGTCCTGCTTTCTAAAGGTTCTATTAAGAGAAACCTTATCTCAGCTTTCCATAGGCTAGTCAATAAGCTCCAATCTGGTGTTCATGGTGAAAATTTCAGGGAAAACCTTCAAATCACTTCATCATAACTGAAGCAACATATAAGCTTAAGAAGCCATCTGTCCCTTTAAGTTCAAACCTCATTTGCTGGCCCCTCACTGATGGAAAAAGCATTACTGGTGGGACAAGCTACTGGTTTCCAAATCCTAGGGCACTCTGTTGCCCTTTGTGAAGTGGAAAGTAACAAAGCCACACTGGTTTGTAAATAATCAATAGTAATAAAACTTTGTTCAACCATGGCATATCAAGGCATTACGGTATCTGCCAACTTTTAAAAATAATCCATACAGGGTTGGAGCCATAGCTCAGTGGCAGAGCACTTGCCTAGCATGTGTGAGGCACTGTGTTCAATCCTCAGTACCATATTTAAAATAATAAATAAAATAAAGGTATGCTGTCCATCTATAACTATAAAGAAAAAATTTTAAAAATAATCAAAACATCAGAATGCTGGAGTTGCAAGGGAGATTGGTGGTTGGTCACCTAGCCTTCATGTACTTCTTTCTGATGGTCAGGACCCCAGATCATTGGAACCCAGGGCTAAATACGTACCGCACAAATGAAGCAGGTGTCATGCCAGGTATGCCCCAGGGCTTCAATAAACTTGTCACCAGCTTCCACGGGGAAATCACAACCATGACACTTGGTGCTGAACAGGTTGACGTAGTCTGAAATGAAAGGCAGAGTGAGGACCAGGAACCCAGGAAGGCAGGAAGGAGCAATCTGGCCACATCTGCAGAAGGTGAGGAAAACTCCCAAATCAGTGGGTTGGGGAAAGTGGGTGAAACCTAATTGGTAGCTTGTCATATCACATAAAATATTAGTTTCTTGATTTATTTCTTTTTCCTTTTCCAGTAATTTGCTTTGATGTTGTGGAGACTCAGGCTTATTCACTATCTTATGCTGGTTTGATCTGCAAACACTTTTGGGAATTGTCATCAACTTTTTGCTGGGTGATTGTCTCTTCTGCCTCTGTCACCTCTGATAGCCCAAACAGATCAGTCCCAATACCAGGAAGAAAAAAAAAATCCACATTTCCCAACAGTTATTTACTTCAGAATAATGAAGTTAAGATTTTTTAAGTTATAGAATGTTCTTTACTTGACCATTCTTCCATCACTGGGCATTGTGTTGACAACATATTTTTACTACTATGAAAACTGTGGCTCAGTGGTAGAGCGCTTGCCTAGCATGTGTGAGGCACTGAGTTTGATCCCCACCACCACATTAAAAAATAAATAAATAAAATAAAATAAAGGTATTGTGTCCATCTATAATTTAAAAAAAAATTGAGCCAGGTGTAGTGGCACATTCCTGTAATCCTCAGCAACTTAGCGAGGCCCTAAACAACTTAGCGAGACCCTGACTCAAATAAAAAAAAAATTTAAAAAAAATGAAAAGCAAAAAGGACTGGGGATGCAGCTCAGTAGTCAAGTGCCCCTGGGTTAAATCTCCAGAATGAATGAATGAATGAATGAATGAATAAATAAATAAATAAATAAATAAATAAATAAATAAATAAATATTTTGAGCTGTCCACAGTTGCACCTGCAATCCCAGTGACCTATAGGCTGAGACAAGAGGATCATAAATTTGAAGCCAGCCTTGCAGTTAGCAAATTGTGTCTCAAAATTTAATAAAAGGGCTGAGATATGGCTCAGTAATAGAGCACCCTGAGTTCAATCCCCAATATAGAAAAAAAATTGAGCTATATTATTGAGGGAAAGCATGTTCTCCTTCCCATCCCCCTCAGCAAATGAGATGATACTACTAAATATTATTTGTATAATGCTTGTAGCTTATTTGACATTTTCATATAGATGTTCTGAGGTTTGAATGTGTTCCCCAAAGTTCATGTGTTGAAAACTGAATCCCCAATGCTATAGAATTGGGAGATAGGGCCACGAAGGAGGTGTTTAGGGCATAAGGGCCCTGCTTTCATGAATAGATTAATGTCATTATTGAAGGAATAGGTTCATTATGGCAGAGGTGGGTTTCTTATAAAAGTGAGTTTGGGCCAGGCACAGTGGTAATCCCAGCCACTTGAAAGGCTAAGGCAGGAGGAACTCAAGCTGGAGACCAGCTTTAGCAATTTAGCAAAATCCTCTGCAACTTAGAAAGACCTTGTCTCAAAATAAAAAATCAAAATGACTGGGGATATAACTCAGTGGTAAAGCACCCCTGGGTTCAATCCACAGTACAAAAAAAATGAGTCAGAGTTGAATTATTACTGTGTTAGTTTTGTTTTTGTGGATGAGGTGAAAGCCCCTCAGAGAGATGAAGAGCCCAGCCAGAGTCCCATGACTAAGGCACCATCAGGCCCTGAGTGCCTCTGCCACAGCAGTTGTCCTCCATGGGCCACAGGGGCAGCAGTTCTACCACACCAGTTGCAGAATTCTTCATGAGTCTTCTAGAAAAGCTTCATCCCCCTTATGGAGACTTCAACTCCTCTACCACTCAGAAGTGTTACTTTTCTGTCCACAGTTCTGCCACAGTTGGCTTTTTCTTGCAGTGATTTTCTGTTCATCTCTTTGTGGACAGTAGGTCTGTTCATTATCTCAAATCATGGACTGAGAGGCACTGTGCCTTTCGGGTTACAAACCTGGAGTCTAAAGAAAGCAAGCTGGGTTCAAATCCCAGCTCTATTAAGGAATTGTTTAAGCATGAGGCAAGTCACCTAACTTCTCAGGACCTCAACTTTCTCATCTATATAATGGAAGTAATTACAGTTCCAAACTCATAGGGTTGTTGAACAGATTAAATAAGATAATATGTGAGGTATTTGGCACAAACACTAAAAATGTTAGCTCTTATTTTGTAAATCTTCATAAACGATGAAAGGAGGAAAGAGAACTATGGTTATTTGAGTGCCCACTGTATTTCTTGTTTAATTCTCATGGCAGTTTTGTGAAAAGTTAATGTTCCTGATTTAAGCATAAGGAAACAACTGGAAAGGTTCCATCACATCAGTTGTAACAAGCAGCACCTGGCCTAATGGACTCTAAAGTTCAACCTCCTTCCATGACTTTATTCTGTCTCCAACTCCTTATCTATTTGCCATTGAGCTTTGATAAATTTTACTTATCGCCTGCATATTTTTTTCTAACCTCTGACTTCTCCTTTTGCTTAATTATATTTTATCCTGAAAACGCTCTTGTATAGCCCAATTCATCAGTCTTGGCTCTGATAGAATACTTAATCTCTTCAATAGTCAGAAATGTATCACCTCACCAGAGCTAAGCAAACATGGTTGTGCTCCCTTTAGAAAGTTGCCACAGGTTCAGGGTTTACTCTATGCCCAATAGCAGCTTACTAGTGTGGGGTATTGGCTAATCCATCTCCACTTGAGCCAAGCCCTGTACACGCCTTCTGACATATTTCTCATCACTCCCAGTCAGTTTCCAGGTGCTCTGCTCTTTCTGTTAAATTTCTGTGTCTCTATATCAAACAGGTCCCAGTTTTAGGAAACCTCGCCATGTTCTCTACCTGAATCTCTGTAATCTTTAGGGTCAAGCCTTCATCCTGGGAAGTTCTCAAGCCCCACCTCCACCAAGAGAGATTAGATGACATTCTAGAGCAATTCCCTTCTTTATCCTTTCATTCATCTACACATCCATCTTCCTTCCTTCCCTCCTTCCTTCCTTCCATCCATCCATCCATCTGCACAACTGCCCATCATTCTTGAATGTCCATGTATATCACAGCATATCCCATGATGTTCGGTTTGCTTGAGGTTTTTGAGGGCAGAGACCTGCCATGCTGGACTATGCACAGTAGCTTTAGTGGGGACGGCTCAAAGTACATGTTCAATACACATTTGACAGATAAATGATGAACAGAAAACAAAGAAATGGTTCAAGCTAATGTACTAAATAGTCCCTCTCCTGTAGGTTTTTCACAGATTAAGCTTTTAAAATAGTTTGAGCCTATTTCTGAAATATCTAGTCTTACCTACTGAATGATTTTTTAAATTTTAAACTTGATTTTGTAATGATTTGAGAATTGCCACTTTGTTTGAAAATTTGGTAGCACATATCTGATTCTAACACATTTTTATTGGTATTTTTCCTCATTTATTCTATAAAAGGAGATTGTCATGAGTTCCAAATTAAATTTGTGCATGCATGGGTCTTTCCATCCAGGAGATAATCTAGCTTCTCATTTATTTCTTCTTTTAAGTCTTCATAATTTTCTTTGACTAATTATTTTATGTCCCAAGTTGAATTAATACCTTTGCATTTAATGGATCTTACTGCTATTGTAAAAAGATTTCCATCCATTACACTAGGAATGCTCTGTGTTGAAAAAGGACTTAGTACTTTTCTCTAGCAATGGTCCTCAAACATTAGAATCACAAGGAGGATTTGGTAAAACACAGGTCATCAAGTTGTACACTCCAAGTTTCTGATTCACAGATTGGGAGTAGGACTCAAAGATTTCTATTTCTAGCAAGTTCTCAGATGATGTTGAAGCCACTGGTCCTGAGACCACACTTTAAGAAACAGTTCTGGCCAGGCATGGTGTCACACACCTGTAATCCAAGTGGCTTGGGAGGCTGAGACAGGAGAATTGTGAGTTCAAAGCCAGCCTCAGCAATTGTGAGACTCTAAGCAACTAAAACTCAGTTAGACTCTGTCTCTAAATAAAATACAAAATAGTGTGAGGATGTGGCTCAGTGGTCGAGTGCCCCTGAATTCAATCCCAGGTACCAATAAAAAAAAGAAAGAAACAGTTCTGATTCCTAAACACAACTGAAGATTAGAATAGCACAAACGGGACATCCTACAAGATTTTGTTTCTGCAGGTCTGGAGTAGGTCTGGAATTTATCTTCTCTCTAGTTTTTAAGGTTCCCTACACGATTGTGATGCTTTGCCAGACTTGCAACTACTCAGGTGCAGGTTCAAATGTGAGGGGGTTGACTTTCCAATCTGTCTTACTTATATTTTGGATAAAATTTTCAGTTTATCTTTGCAGCCTAACAGAAGTCTTTCTGAGTCTAGAACCTGACATTCTGGCTTAATCAGCAAATTTGACAGGACTCCTTTCTGTGTCTTCTTACAAGTTGTTGACAAAAAATGATGACCAGAGGGTTGGGGTTGTAGCTTAGTGATATAGAGCACTTGCCTGGCACATGAGAGGCCCAATTCTGAGGCAGGTTAACCAACCAAGCTTGGCTTTATCTGATAGATCACCTACTTCTCTTTTCTTTACCTTGTTCCTAAGAATATCAATCATTCATTATATTCAAAAAGTATACTCATTTTATTGTGTTTTTTCTAAGATAAAAATTAGTGTTATTGCCTTGCCTTCAACAATTGATTCTATTGCTTATTGCTTAAGTGGAACTTGTCTTGGTTTTGGTGGTGGTAGGGATTGAACCCAAGGCTTCAAGCATTCCAGGTAATTCTACCACTGAGCTACATCCCCAACCCAGAAAGTGGATTCTAAATTGTGTTCCATAGAGAGCTGTGGGTCTCCTAAGCTGTTTCAAGGACCACTCATGTTGCCCACTTACTGTGGATAGGCGGTTTGCTAAGAGTTTTGCATGCATCATCTCAGTTAATCCTTATAGCAGCCTCTGAAGCAGGTAGTGTGGATGAGGAAACACTCAGAAAAGATAAGCCCTTCTTCCAGGTTCACACCAAGCCCATAGCAACCCATCTGCGTCTCTCAGGGCAACTAGATCTGAAGGGAATCTGCTTCCTAGCTGTCTTCCCTAATACTAGACCATCACATTGCTGGACTGTTTACTCAAAATACATTTTTGAAAATCGTTTTTTGGGAGGTTGCTTGGAGAGGGGTAGCAGGGATAGTAGAAATCTATCATTCTTTTATAAGTCTCAAACATAAATTGTGGCTTATCACAAATTATCCAAACTATATTGTTGTTAGTTGATGAATAGTAGCGATTTGCATAGGTATAACAGCATTTTCAGTAATTACCAATCAACACCATATAAGAGGGGGAATGACTAACATTACTGGCTCCCTTTTACAGATGTGGAAATCAAGACACAGAGCAACTTAGTAAGTTGGTTTAAAGTCATTCAATTAACTTTAGAGCAGGAAAGAGAATTCAGCAGCTTAAGAACCCAAGAAGTTTTTGTTTGTTTTATAATTTACTGTCATGGGGAAAAGTTTTATTTTGTTTTGCTTTTTCCTTGGAGTAACTGTAATGAGTTCCCCTTTCTGATTTGAAAGTAATTTACTGTGTTTCTCTTTTTGCCCTCAAACTGGCTACCCAGCCAGTCACTGCAGCTCTGTTATTCTTCATAACCAGCATGCTTGCCTTTTCCTCTTCTGATAATCTGGTGCTATTGTCTTAACTTTCACCTCTACTTCCCTTTGTTGGACCCCACCCCAAGTCTCTCCTTGAAAGAATGAGGGAGTGAAAGGCCAGTAGCCAGAATCTTGAGTATCTTAAAAGTGCTGTGTCTTTTCAATTTAAAATAATTCATTTCACATTTCAAGACACCATATAGAACTTATAGGGCTACCCCCAAAATCTCTAATTTAGCCAGTGAACTTAAGGAAACTGACAGAATATCAAAGTCTTATAAGCATGGTAGACACAGAGGAAAGGAACACTCCCACATTCCGTGATTTATACCCTCTCTGGTTTCATCCTCTTCACAGCTCTGTAAGGTAGGGATTTACAGATGGGGACAGTGAGGCTCAAAGTGCTTTAGTAACTCACTTAGGGTTCAAAGCCAGCCTGAGGTGGAATCAGGAATAGGACCTAGGACAAAGTTCAGACCTAAGGCTTTTTTGCGACTAAACCTGGTCTCCAAGTCAAAACAACCTGAAAGGTTTCCCAAGCAATTATGAGGCCAACTTGTGACTCATACATTTGATGCAGGAAAGAATCAGACGCTAAATGTGTAAAATAAGCTATAGACTCTGCCTCCCTTTCCTTGGAAGGCTACAATCAAATGAGCAGGGGAAATACTTCAATTAACTTTCTTTGTGTAATATTAGCATGATTTTGACATTAAGAACAAACCAAAATCAAGAGCTGGGGATGTAGCTCACTGGTGGAGCCCTTGCTTAGCACATTTCAGGCCCTGGGTTTGATCCCAAGCACAGCAAAAACCAAAAACATCAAAAACCTTTCTTCCAGAAATAAAAGAATCTTGATGGCCAGATATGTAGGGATACAGGCAGGAGTTAGTGACCCGCTTGGCCCCTGCCTGCTTGCTTGCATCGCTCTGCATTTGCTCTATATCCCAGTTTCCTACCTTTCTCACAATAGGGCTCTCCATCTTCCATGTGGAAGAGGCTGTTCCCAAAAGGCTTCTTGCAGGCTGCACAGACAAAGCAGGTGGTGTGCCATGTCTGCCTCAGGGCATGCATCACTTCCTGGGGGGAAAATATTGACTCAGGATGGAAAGTTCCAGGGGAGAAATGAAACCAGGCTTAACTTTATCACCAGGTCCCAGCCACTGACTAAGCAGCCATTAGGGAACAGGGCAGAAGAGCCCGGAAGCAGGCCTTGGATACACCAAGGGTAGGCAGAGGAGGGAGTTCCTAGTATCCAATGCTTGCTGGGTTCCACGTTCTACGTACTGTTATATAAGCTGTGATGCTTAATCTTCCCATAAGCCTGGGAGGGAGGTCCTACTTATTACTGCCACTTTACCATAGGGGCATCAAGGGTCAAGGCCACACGCAGGTGAGCTGGCAAGGCTGGGCTATGAAGCAACAACTTGTATGGCCAAAGTTCCCCCATCACTTCAAGCTGTGTGGCACAGACATATAATCATCTCTTGTTTCAAATTCATTTGCTCCCTGGTTCACTGGTGGCAAACCAACTCCCTTTGAGGACAGAAATGGAGTTGTTTTCTCTCTATTAGCAGCAACTTCTTGGCTTCTAATGGGACTTCACAATCTTAGGGAAGGGAGAGGAGGTTGATCAGGGCTGCAGAAAAGACAAGTCAGAGGAGAAGAATGTAGTCCACTTACCCCCATGATTTTGGTGTTGCACTTGGCACAGAGTGGGGCAAAGAACTGCTCATAACACCGCTCACAGTAAACATTGTTCTGCTCCTCCACAAAGCACACATCTGCCAATGAGGTCTTGCAGTAGGCACAGTTGAACTCTTCCGGGTGCCAGGAGCGGCCCATGGCTACCAGAAAAGGACCCCTGGGGAGACAGAGAACAGCACCTAATAGAAACCCTCAAAATTTGGAACCAATATTTCAAGAACCCCAACAATCTTCATATATTTAGCCCATAAATCCCACTTTTGTGGCTGTTCTAATGAAATAATACAAAATTCAGAGAAAGCTCTATGCAGAAAGGTGTTCATTGTCCCATCACTTACCATAAAGAGAAACTACCATAGGGAACTGGGTAAGCACATGACAGAATTCAGTTGAACACAGTAATTATAAGAAAAACAATGACGCTGCTATTGATGGCTAAGATTTATTAAGTACTCTGTGCCAGACACTATACAAGAATAATTTTGTATTTGTTAACTTATAATCTTTAATCCTGTAAAGTAGGAACTATTATGAAGCCTATTTGGGGGAAGGAAACTGAGGCACAGAGAGGTTAAGTAATGCATTCAAGGCTGCAGGGCCAGGAAGTGGTAGACCCAGGACACAAAATGACAGTCTAGTTCCAGATTAGTAGTCAGAACACTGGGACTATAAGGAAATTTTTTTATGTTCTATTTTTCCTTTTCCATGTTTTCTAATTATTCTCTACCAAGTATATGATATTTTATTTTTAAATAAGAGGGTTGAGTGTGTGGTTTAATGGTAGCACAAGGCTCTGGGTTCAATCCCAAGCACACACACACACACACGCACACACACAGATATATATATATATATATATATTTATATATATATACACATACATACATACTATATACAAACATATAAGAGCGTATTTTTCATATATGCAAGCTCAGATCACAAACATATTAACATAATATGTTCAAACAAGCATCATCTGTGACCCCAGGCTTTTAAGCCTGAAGTGATTTGATTTCATTTCAGTCAAGTGCCCACCTATGCCCTGAGCAATACAGGCCTGTCTGTGGCAAGACCCAGAAGCAACCCCAAAGAAAAGCTAGGTCAAAACCAGCACTGTCAGCCAGCTTGCAACATGCCCAATAAACCTACTGACAACAAGACTGGCAATTCCCAGGACCCGGCCTTAGCCCAAGGGGAAGCTCCTGGCACCAGACACCAAGCTGGGAGCTTCACCCACTTACCTCATGGAATCCTCCCAACTCCCCAGGGATGTGGGTGTCACACAGGTATGGAAGCTGAAGCTCAGAGAGAGTCAGACCAGTTGGTGGGCCAGAGGGTTAGAAGGCTGCCCTGCAGTGTAGCTAGCTTTTGTCTGTCCTCCACCTGTCCTCCCAACCCCCTCACTGCGTGGCTTAGATCATGGATAAGCACCTATGTGCCCACCCTTCCAGCACCACAGTGGACCATACCTGATGACGTTGTTGCAGTGGCCACACAGTGGAGTTCGGCTGCTGGCTGGGAAGCGCTCAGCTCTCTGGACGGTACCTCTGGCAAGGGGGGTCATCTGAGGACCTGTCGGAGTATATGCTGGGGCGCCCCGGGGCAGGGTCTGCTTGCTAATAGACGTGGTGCTCTTGCCAGGGGCAAACTTCTGAGAGAAATTGTCATCTGTCACCCAGGGGGGACGGCTGGCAGACTCTGCTGGGCCCCCACTATAGGCCGCTGAGGGTGTGGGGTTATAGTTTGGGGCAGGTGAAGGGGTATAGGCTGGAGCAGGAGAGGGGGAATAGGTGGGAGCAGGTGAAGGGGTGTAAGTAGGGGCAGGTGAAGGGGTATAGGCTGGGGTAGGAGAGGGGGTGTAGGGAGTTGGAGTGTAATTGGCCCCTGGGGATGGGCTGTAGGTAGATGCAGGCACTGCAAACCAAAAATACCAAAAGAAAAATGTGTCAGGTGTTTCTTTCCCCTTCTTCTCCTGCTCCCCCAGCCAGAGAACTGAAAAAGGTGACTTTAATGTTAGAACAGTACAGTGTTTTATGGAAAATACGTTCCTGAACTTCTTGATGCCCCAGATTTTAATTCTCAGCAAAGGATCCCAGGGAAATAAAGAGTGAGCCAACGCAGCAGAGCCCTGGGGAGCTTAGACAGGGCTGGGAAAGGATGTAACTATAAATAGTTGCAGCTGTGCAGGGTGGGGCTCCACCACAGCTTGGCTGCCTGAGCCCCACTGAAGGTGGGGAGTAGGGGTAGAGGGTACCTGGGCCAAGACAAGGGTGGGAGTGTGTCAGTTCAGCCTGGACTTGGGGATGCTCTCAGTTGCAACCAATGATTTGACTCCAGCATGTGTTTCAACCAGCATGCTTGGTGTACCTGGATCTAGTCCAGCCTTCCTAGCAAAGCAGATGACCCAGCAACTGGGTTTTCAAGTTCAGGTTTCAGTTTTAGCTACAAAATCACTTTCTTTGAAAAACAGCCTAGCTTGATTTGTATTGGGGAGGGGGGTTCCATTTAGGTTTGATGGAAGTCTTAAAGGAGTCACTAAGAGTCAGCCTAAGCAGACAATTTTGGTATGATGCATGCAGCCCAGGTCTAGCTGCTCACTTGGACCTGGCTTCCCCACATCACTTTGGTGCAAACTAAGAGCATTTGAGTGATACCCTAGTAGTTACCAAGGAAATTTGAGCATGGGGAAGAGAATGTGCTGTCCTACTTTTGGAATCCTCTCCTGACACTAACTGAGGGCGGAAACACTGCAGGGGCACTGCAGCTGCTTGTCAAAAGCCCTCTCACCCTGAGCTCTCAAGCCCCAACTTTCTGCTGCATTGTGCTATGGGGCCAGCCAGGGTAGACCTAGCTGTGTCCTGTGCTAGGTCCAACTGGCCTCTTCTTCTGGCAAGGGAGGTTCCCAAAGCCTCACCTCTGCCCAGTCTGCTACTCTGGAAAGCAGCTTCATTCCCCCAATCCCAGGAAACATGTCAGGGCAGCCTCCCTCTTCATTCCTGAGCTGAACCTGAATTGGGATAAACTGTGCTTAGGAAGCACCCACTGGGTCCCAGCTGGGCTTGAGACCCTGTTCCTATCTCTGGTCTCTCTTTCTCAACTGGTGCCCTGGGGCTATCTTGTGTAACCTGTGGCCTTTTCAACTTTGCCCCTTCTATTCCCAGATGACTGGCCCTTCAGAGCTAAGAAACCTGGAAAATGCACATACTATCCTTGCTGGGGGTGGGTAGGGACCATGCTTGTGATAATGGAGTATGAAGGGCCTGCCTAGAGACATACTGGGATTGATGTGGGCTTCCAATGGAAGAAGCTTCTCCATACAGAACCTTCCTCCCACTTACAAAGGGGCTGGATTAGGCATATAGCACAGAGTGGGAGTGAATCCTTAAATTATCCCCCTTTACACTTAAAGTCAGTAGGACTCAAGCAGAGTAAGTGGCAGCATGCAACTCTAAAATCTTTCTTTCTATACCTCAAGCTGACTCTATAAAGAATACAAGTCTAATTTCCAGAAAATCTTAGTGTGCCATATCACTGTGGAATCACTCCCAATGTGGAGGAGACCCCATGCTCTGGCACATAGCACAGCTATGAAGATCCTGGCTTCAGGCTAGGGGTAGAGCTCAGTGGTAGAGCTCTTATCAATCATGATTGATTCCCAGCACCACCAAAAGGAGGAGAAAAAAAAAAAAAAGTATCCTGGCTTCATGTCCTAGCTCTACTATTTCCTGACTGTGCATCTTTGGGCAAGTTCTTCCAACTTCTCTGGGCCTCAGTTTCCTCATCTAAAAACAATAATAATGGCTGGATGCAATGGTGCATGCCTGTGATCCCCAGCTACCTGGGAGACTGAGGAAGGAGGATCATGAGTTCAGGCCAACCTGGGCAACTGAGTGAGACCCTTTCTCAAAATAAAATAAAATGCATTGGAGATGTGGCTCAGTGGTAGAGTGCCCCTGGTTCAATGCCCAGTTCCACACCAAGAAAAAAAAAAGTAATAATTCTTAGTACTTCACAGGATTATTATGAGGTTTAAGAGAAAATAAGAAACAAAGTGTCCAACCTGCTGGCAGTGTGTGTGTGTGTTACTAAATATGAGGATGGTAAGGTGGTGGTCTCTTGGTGTTAGGGTTAGGAGGTATTGCCAGTTTATCTTGTAGCCTGGTGGTCACCTGGAAGGTCCAGCCCAGGTAGACTATAGGATGGAGGAGGGAAGGGAGATGTGACATTCTGCAGTCAGTCAGATAACCTGGAACTAAGCCTATTCACTGGTGGTGGAATTTATGTTACCCCTGCCACCAAGGTATGGTGGTAACCTACAAGAGTAACATAATGCATACATTTTGTAAAGCCCAAATTCAAGGTATTGTTACCTTCCCCAACTTTGCATAGCTCCCTAGTACCTGGAGAAGAGGATCTCAAAATACCAGAAGCAAGGGTGACTTGGAGAATAATACCAAGGAAGTAAAGCAGAGAGAGGTAATCTAGTCCTGTTTATTTATTTATTTATTTATTTGTACCAGGGATTGAACTCAGGGGGCACTTGGGCACTGAGCTACATCCCCAGCCCTATTTTGTGTTTTATTTAGACACAGGGTCTCACGGACTTGCTTAGTGCCTCGCCATTGCTGAGGCTGGCTTTGAACTCACAATCCTCCTGTCTCAGCCTCCTGAGCCACTGGGATTACAGGCCTGAGCCACCATGCCTGGCTGGCCCTGTTGGCCCTGTTTTATATAATGAGATTCTGTGTAAGATTTCTCTCTTGTTCTCTCCCTCTTTTTTTTGGTAAAGTGCTGTTCTCTGCTAAAAAGGATTAAAGAACAAAAGCCCTAATCCTGTGCTGTCCAACCCATAGACTTTTGTGGACTCTGAGCCTCTGAAATGGGGTTATCCAAATTGGAAGTGCTAGTATGGTACAAGATTTTTGAACTCAGTAAAAGAATAGATACTTTATAAAGTATCTCATTAATAATGATTTTATACTGAATATATGCTGGAATTTTGTTCTATTTTGTTTCTTAGCCACGGTCTTGCTATGTTGCCCAGCCAGCCTAGAACTGGGTTCAAATGATCCTCCTGCCTTAGCCTCCAGAGTAGCTGGACTACAAGCAAGCACCAATATGCCCAACTGTGAGAAATTCTGAATGTAGTGTTAAATAAAACATATTTAAACTATTTTCACCTGCTTTCTTTTACTTTTTATAATTCATTGCAGTACTGTCTCTAATATTCAAGGGCACTAGCTTTACATTGACTAATGTGATAAAACATTGGAAGATTTAGCTCCCAAGGATACTGTCTAGAATTTTTTTTTTTTTTGTACTGGGGATTAAACACAGAATTCAAGCATTCTAGGGAAGGGCTCTACAACTGAGCTATATAGCCTCAGTCCCCTGCTTTTTTTTACTTGAAAAAAAATATATTTCTATATAGATATAGGTATCTATATAGATGTAGATATAGATATATGCTTATCAAAAAATTTCTTCCTCTTGTATGGTGCTGTCCTAATCAAAAATACTGGCTACTAAATACTGATGGCTTCCACATGCCAGGCCCTTTGAGTATGTTATTTCATGTAATGCCTCATGCAACGCAAGAAGCAGATGGTATTTGCATGTCCATTTTACAGATGAGGAATTGAGGCTTGGAGAGCTTAAGAGAAGGCCTAAAGGTCATCCAACTAGCGAGCTGCCTAGCTGAAACTGGAGCTCTGGCAGCCCTACCCCGCTGCAGATTCCCGCTTAACCACTCCCTACAAGGCAAAACATGCTTTAGTACACCCTTTCCAAGTTAAATCCAACCCTCCCTTCAGCAATTCTAACCCTATTCCCTGTGCCTGGCGGAGACATTCTCTTCCTCGCACGGGAAGGCCTTCCAGATTCCTAGAACCGCCCCCCCCCCCCGCCCCCAACCTCCTTTCTAAAACCTTACAACAGAGGGAGATTAAAATCGAGACCTACTTCCTTCACCAAGGCTGCCCTGAACCAGGGAAGGGCCCTTCCTCTCAGTGGTGGCTTGGCTCATCAGCTCCCCTCCCCCATCGGGTCCCCTATTCGCTGGGACCAGGGGGTTCCTCGTGGCCTGCCTCGCCTCGCCACCCCCGACACGCCAGGAGGGACTCCAAATCTCAACTCGGAACCCCGGGGCTGTTGCTATTTTTGCGTGAGGGAATTGAGCCCGTCCAAATTAGAAGGTGATATTTCATCTCTAATTGGCAAGTTCAAAAGGCCCCTATCGCACTCGGCGGCCTGGGGACTATGTAATTAAACAAGGTGTTTTCTGAGTCACTCCGGGCCGGGCCCGGCTCTCCGCAAGCGACCGGTTGCCTCCCGGCCCGCGGGCCCATGTGGCTGTCCCCTGGCCCGCGGTCCCATTCGCCCACGGCGAGGCCGGTCCGGTTCCCGCGCCGCCGCCGCCCCTCCCAGTCCCCAGGTGTTCTTGGGAGCGGACGCCGAGCCTCGGCGCCAGCGATAAGATCCGGGCTGCGAACGCCGCCCTCGGCCGGGAGGAGGCTCCGCGGGGAGCTACGGTGGGGACTCGGCCGCGCGCTGCGGGCCGCGCGGGCACACACTCCCGGCTTCGCCTTGGGCCGCCTGCCAGCCGCCCCCGGAACGCTCTCGGCGGCCGGCCTCCCCAGGAGAGGGAGGTGGGAGAAAGCCGTCTTCTCCCCTCCAGGCAGGAATGAGTTAACGTCTGCACCGCCTAGAAACGGCGCGGAGGCCCGCGGCTCCGGCACGTCTAGCCTGCCTGGGCCCCAGCCCGGGAGGGCGCTGCAAAGGGACGCGGGGCGGACCCGCCAGTGCTCGCTCCCGGAGCCCGGCCGCCCCCTGGTGGGACTGCGGGGTACAGCCAGCGGCCGGGACTGGGGAGCTACAGCGCGGGGCCGCCCCGGAAGGTGCCAGAAGAGCCTGCCCAGGGCCCCACGGAAATGCACTCCTTGCACCAGCACAGGGCCTCACCTCCACCCGCCGATTCCCATCCAAACTGCTTTCCAAGTTCCCTCCATGGTTCCCAACCTGCTGAGGGTCAGCCACTTCTGCCCACTCCGAGATTTTTCTCCCTTTCAGCCCAGTCTAAAATGTCCCTTCATCCAGTGATGTTTTAACTTAGGTGTTTTCTGTCCCTCTGTCAGGTACCGTGCGAGGGGCGGCATTTCATTCCTAAAACACGAGGTGTACTAGTGTCACTACCAATAATCAAATGAAAAAGTTTAGGCCTGAGAGAGGAGGTAGTTTGCTCGCAGTAGCAGCCCTGGAGTAGGATGCTAAAGCGCATCCACGCCCATACCCAACACTGCTGTCTGAGGAAGCTCTGTTTTAACTGAGAGCTGAGCCTGCCATCTCTGCCCCACGCACCAAATTCAAGCTATTCCAAGCAAGACCTTGCTTACCTCCCAGCCTTACCTCCTTTATGCTCCAGTCTCAGAGAAAAATTCACTGGGATGGGGTCTCTTGTGCCTTACTGGGATGTACTTCTGAGTCTAGACTGTGGGTACTCTTCTTTACCCTATGGCTGCTTTGTCAATTCACTCTGTCAATTCACACTCGTTTATGACACACAGAAAACGTTCTCTGTCTTCCTTCCCTCTGCTTCAGAATGACCTATTCTCATTCTTTCCAAAACAAGTCCTTAATTTCTTCCCTTCATCAGTTTGCCATGTGCAAAAATGGTGTGTGTGTGTGTCAGGTAGCGGAGATCCACCCACATTAAGGGGGAAGCTGCTCATGTGTTGGGGCAGGTGGTAATGTGGGAAATCTCAGTACCTTCAATTTTTCAATAAACTTAAAACTAAGAAAAAGTCTATCAAAAAATCATACATGTATAATTTTGAGGAGAGAGAAATGTTTGCATTGTTTTTTTTCTTTTTTTTCAAGTTTCAAGTTCCTTCTTTTTTTGCATTGTTATTGTAAATGCAAAATCATTACTGCTTTTCATAAATTCAAGATGAGTATAAAGATAAATGTTGAAAACATAATGTTTTAAGAGGACAGTGTGTGCTCACCTAAAATTCTGTCTCACCCATCTGTAGAATGGGCACCAAGGGATCACTCTGGGAACACCTGGGACCCTTGCACTGTGTACACAGCTGCTGAAGTACAGAATACAAGCTCACAACCTCTTTGCTGTCCACTGCTTGTGTCTTCCTTTCCAGTGTACGTGAATTTATTTGTTCCTTCATTTTTTATGCCATTACTGAGCATCTCCACTGTGCCCTGCCTAACTCAGGGGCATGTAAGGGAGAAAAATCCCTCTTCCCTGCCCTCCTGGAGTTCAGAGTCTGAATCCAACAGGAAGGAGGGGATGGTGACTAAACTCAGAGCCTGGATGCTGGCAGCACATCCTATACACCAGGGAACAAGGGACATCCTTTCGCCCTGAGAAGAGACCTTAGGTCCTTTGAGCAAGGGTTGGTCTTTGCACTTCTGATTCCTTGAGTCCTTGTCCAAGCTGGACAACCTCCCCTCACACTCTGCCTCTCACCTGGTTGGTAGACAGAAGGCCGGATGCTGGCAGTGGTGACAACTCGGGGCTTGGGTGCAGGGGCAGCTGGACCCTCACTGTAGCTCGTATGGGCAGTTGGTGCTGGAGAGGTAGCTGCTGCAGGGCTGCAGGTAGAGGCCTGGGGTCTGGAACCAAGAGGGGAAGTGTTATAGCAAGAAGGACAGTCCTATCTGGGTCCTGGAGCCTGGGGCCTGCAGCCATAGCAGGTTGGTTCCTTGATCTTTAGGATCCTCTATGAGGAGGAAAACCGATAGAGATGTCTACCAGAGGCTGTGAAAGAAAAGCCAGGGGAATCTTAAAGGGGAGAAAACTGCTCCCTGTAGCTAGTGCTACTGTCTTTGGAGAGAGGGAGAAAGCCATCAACTAGACCAGAGGACACTTGGAAAACCTTCACCTCCCTGGGGCCTCTGACCACCTGGCCTCCTCTTTTACTCTTTTCCATTTTTGCTGCAGGGAGCAATAGTCTCAGGTTTTTAAACAATAATGCTCCAGCAAGTGCTCTAAGAGGCCCCCAGCAACTCCCCCCAGCAAACATTCCATTTCCATACAGAATTCCTGTTGTCTCCTCCCACTGGGTTAGCTACCTGTCAGTAGGCCTAGAGCAGCCTCTTCCCACATGCAGCCCAGGAGCTGTGGAACCAAAAAAAGTGTCCTAGTTCACTGCTATCAGAAACAGATGTTCTTGTCCTCTCCTCTTGGAGAGTTGAAGGCTTTGAGAACTGCCAGAGTTTAGTGCTTGTTGAACTTTGATCCAATGGTTCCCAGCTTCATTTGTTTGTTAAGAATTTTTTCTTCATTTAAAATTAATGAACATCTTGCTCTCTGCATGTGTCTTACAGATCCTAAAGGGGACAGGTGAACACACCCATTGCCAATGGGTCTTTGGTGAGGGTACTGGAGAAGAGAGACCCTGGAAGTATATCCCCCACCCCAGCTTATAGCTTCCTGCATTTCTTCCATCTGTTCCCCTTGGGCCCAGGGCCTACCCATTTTTGCTTGGCAGAATTGTAAGATGAGAGAGTGCCCTAGGATAAGAACCTTCTACCAAGCTCCTTAGTAGATCCAGGAGAACCTGTGGGGCTGCCCCCAGATAAGGCAAATGTAAAAGGATGTTCAGAGAGCCAGCATCCCAGACTTGGGGGCTATTCACACTTTCCCTGTCACCATGCCAAGTTTCTGATAGATTGAGGCCATTGTCTCCTTTCCCTGGCCTGCCTACCCTTCTGTGAACAGATCTCTGTGCCAAGACCAGCAAAGTAGGGGCCTCATCTGCAAGAGGAAGAGATGGTTTTAAAGGAGTTCTCAGCTTCCACTGTGGTTGGACAAGGCCACAGGTCAGTGGTTATGAACCAGACTCTCCCACAGTGGTGGACACTTTGCCAGCATCCCAGGAGCTACAGGTTCTATGTCAGGGACTGGGGTGGATAGAGGAAACAGAAGCTGAGAACTCCAAAGCCAGGCTCTTGATGAAAGGGCTCCTTCTAGTTCTAGCTTCTTCTAGTCCATGTGCAAGGAGGGAAGTTAACTGGGCTCAGAATATAACATCATGACCTCTCTGCTCTAAGTTCTACCCAGGTCCTAGCTCTCCTGGCAAGACAAAAGGAAGGAAGGATTCACCCTGCTGCGGGTGTCCCAAGGGTTTCAGGTGCTCTGTGGTGGGCGAGTCGGGGACACAGAGGCCTGGAACCTGGTGCTGGAGCTTGCCCTTTGGCAGGGGCAGGATATAAAACTGGATTGCCCCTGGGCTCCAGCATCTAGTACTCCTCCATCCAAATTGGGTGGCTTCTTCCCACTCAACAACAGGGATATTTCTTACTTCAAAATTTCTTTGTGTAGGTAGCAAGGCCTTTATGCAAAGAAATTCTGGCTTGGAGAGGGGAAGTGGGTTGCTAACCGTTCCCCAGGAAACTGGGATAAAACCACCCCAGAAGCCCTGGCCCAGGCTCACTCCTAAGGCTTGAGACAGGCTGGGAAAAAGCTGGGCTTGGTATTGTGAAGCCTGGGGTAGGGACAGCAGACAGGCCTGTGGGTCACTTCACATCCTAAGGCTGCACCATGGACTTTTACACTCTGACCCAGGGAGGCATGTACTCCTCAACAAAACCCCGGGGCAGGGGCCCATGGAAAACTAGGAGAGCTGGGGTCTTAACTCCAAACACCAACTGCACAGCTCCAGGAACTCCCAAAAGAGAGCTGGGCTAACCCCTGCTGTTGCACTCACTGTTGGCTCCAGAGTAACTTGTCCATCCCACCTCTTCTGCCTCCCTGAAACCCCCTGCTTTGGTTTCTGCTTGCTGGGTATCCAGGAGGGCAGGTTGGGGTGGAGGAACTTGAAGTACTTGTATCCTTTTTATGTGCTAGGTGTTTCATATACACTTTTTCCATCACGACCCCATAAATACATGTGTTGTTTTGAACTGTTTTTTTTTTTTTTTTTTGTACTAGGGAATGAACCTGGTGTGTGTGTGTGTGTGTGTGTGTGTGTGTATGGGGGATGTTTAACTGAGCCACATTCCAGCCCTTTTCTTCTAATGTTTTTGAGACAAGTTCTTGCTAAGTTGCTGAGGGTCTCACTAAAATGATTGTAATCAAACTTATGATCCTCCTGCCTCATCCTCCCCAGTCACTGGGATTACAGGTGTGCACCACTATGTTTGGCTTATTTTAAACATCTTTACAGATAAGGATAATGAAGTTCAGAAAAGTTCAGTCACTTTCTCAAGGTTACAGACAGAAGGTAGTGGAGCAGAAATGTAAGTCCTACTACATACATCAGGTGTCTCTGAAGTTAACATGCTTCTCTATCAAGAGAAGAGAGGGGAAGGGATGTGGGCAAATAGCAGCTTACATATTTGGTCAAATCTGACTTGCTTTCTGTATCCAGCTCAATGTTCCCTCCTCCAGGGAGCCTCCCTTAATCTCCCCAGCCCTTTGGAACAACTTTCATTCTTCATTAGCTGAGTTCCAGGAACAAGGACTTTTTTTTTTTTTTTGTACTGGGGATTGAACCCAGAGGTGCTTTACCACTGAGCCACATCCCCAGCACTTTGTTTTTTATTTTGAGACAGGGTCTGACTAAGTTGCTTAGGGCCTCACTAAGTCACTGAGATTGGCCTTAAATTTGTGATTCTTCTACCCCAGCCTCCTGAGTCACTGGGATTACAGGCTGTGCCACTACCCAGCAACAAGGACCATTTATACAGTTCACTTCGTCATCTCTGTGTGTGCACACTTTTGTTGGTGCGTGAGACTTTTTACCTTTGTGACTAGAGATGAGTTCCGGGATGGCAGGGCAATGTTCCTGCCTCTCTTCTTAGCCACAGGTGGAACAGACCCCTGAAAAGCACCCCAGCTTCCCCCTTCATATTCTGTACCATACAGTGTTGGCTTTCTTGGGAGACCCCAGGGCCCTAAACACCATGGATCCCAATGCCCACAGATGTATCCAGGGTGGGGCCTTTCCTCCTGCCCTTTCTCTTCGTCAGGGCAACACCTGTGGGCTGGTTACCTTGGACTGTCCGCAGGGATCGAGGTAGGGGCTGCAGCAGAGGCGGTGGCAGCATGGGCAGTAGCTGTGGCCAGGGGTGGCGAGGCTGCCCTAGGAGAGGCGGCAGCAGGCGGCTGGGCAGAAGCGGGCAGCAGCGGGGTGGAGGCCTGGCTGGTGCACACTGGAGCATGCTCAATAGGGGTGCTGATGAGGCGGGACCAAAAAAGATAACAAGTCAAGGGGGCCCCAGACCCTGGGGGGTGGGCTCTGCATGGGGACAGGTGGGTACAGCTGCAACAGGTGGATAGAAAGCGACATCAGTACTGCAAATAGAGCAGGATCCTCCAGGGGGTGCATCTTCCAGGTGTAGGGAAAGAACTCCTCTGGGATCCTGGGAGGAGAGGCTCAGACCACGGTAGGGCCTGGTAACATCAAAAACATTCTCAATCCTGGAGGAAAAAACTCCCCCCAAGTTTTTGTGCTTCCTAACTTTCTTTCTCAGCAAAACACAATGTAGTAGAAAAATAGATTTGATTATCAACAAGTTTCTTCTCCCTTATTGTTTTCCTTTCCCTTTAGTTCATCATTTAGTCAGGGGCATGCATTACCTTCAGAGAGGGATGATACATACACACACACACAAAAAAAAAAAAAAAAAGCAGAAGTAAGATATGTGGGTGTCAAGGCCTTAAGCTCTAAAGTTGTGAGAAGCTGTTCTTCAGGCTCTGAAAGATTCAGGGCACTGACAATACATTTGCAAAATGGATAAAAGGTATCATGCTGGGCAGATCAAGGTTATCTGGACCAGAAGTGGGATAACGTGGATTCAAAGATGGAGGTAACTGTGCCCTTTTAGGAGTGGCAGAACTTCTGGTAAGGGGACAGGTAGACACCAGAAAGCTCAAAGATCTTCATGCCACTGTGTAATCTAGATACTTAAGTAGATTTCCCACACACCTAAGAAAGACATGGGCCTAGGCCTGAGCACCTGAGTTATAAAGTAGATCTGAAAGGCCTTATAATTTGGAACAAGAGAGGTGACCACTCTGCCAGTGTGGACCAGTGTGGCCACATAGGATGGGAATATTCTTCAGTCAGTACAGATAGACCAGATGCCCAGATGTCTCAACTCTGAATGCCTGGGCATCATGTAAATAACTCTTTTCCAGAACCACTCCAGGAAGAAGAGAACAGTCTGAGCCTGGATTTATGGCATTAGATTCCTGCTACCTGTGAAATGAGGTGAAGAATAAAATTAAATTACAGGAAAGAAAAGAAAAAAAAATTTTTTTGAGACAGGGTCTCAGTGTGTTGCCCAGACCTGTCTAGGATGGTTGGGCTCAAATGATTCTCCTGCCTCAGCCTCACAGATAGCAGGAACTACAGGTGTGTGCAAATACACCCAGCTCATTCTTTGTTCTTTGATTGGCATTTGTATTTTTAACAACAGTGATAAAAAAAAATGCAAATCTTATAAGTAGGAATAACTCCACCCCCCATGTTACTTGTTGATTGACCTACTATGTGTCAAGCATTATGTCTTTAATTCCTCATAACACCCATCTGATCAACTCTATTTAGTAGATGAGGAAATGAAAACAGAGTATTTAATTGCTCAGGGCTCTGAAGCTTACCCTTAGGGACAAAACGATTGAGGGTCATTTTGATTTGAAAACTTAAGCAGAACCTCATGGAGGAAGAAAAGAAAACTCTTCTTGTAATCAGCCGAGTGGAATCTTTCTACAATAAAAGACACTATTATTGTTGGTAATAATTGGAATGAAAGTACTACGCTCTACTGAGTTCTTCCCATAGCATAAGCTTTATCCCATTATTTGTTTTATCCTTTCAATCATCATCATGTATGATGGGTTTGGTGAGTGTCAATTCACAGATGAGGAGTCTGAAATCTGGAGAGATTGTATCTCTGGTAAAACATCACACAGTTGTCAAGTGGCAGAGAAGGGCTTGAGCCCTAATCACTATATTTCTCACACTTTAAATGCACATGAATCACCTGGGGGATTTTTGTTAAAATGCAGCTTCTGGTTGAGCGGGTCTAGAATGGGGCTGAGTTTACATTTCTAACAAGCTCCCCAGGGATGCTGATGTTACTGGCCCATGGACCACACTTGGAGTAGCAAAGTGCTAGAGAAGTTTGCCCTAGCTAAGAATGCAAGAAGGCCCGATGCTCTTTACCAAAGCATCACCCAATTGCTCTACTTCATCTGGTGAGGTATATGAAAGAAAAGAGTATGAAACAGAGTGAAAAGACCAGGGAGGCACAGAAATGGAGAAGCAGCAAAGTTGTGGGTTGACTGCCCCATGAGAAGGAGCCATTTTTCTCAAAAGCTTCATGGAAGGTATCTGGGATGGGCAAGGGCATTGGCCATAGTCTGCCTGGGGCCTTCCCCAGGCAGACCTATAGCAGTGCCTGCCCCTGGCCCTGCAGTGAGGCCACTTGCCCAATCTCTGTGAAAAAATCTTGCTTCTGGAAGCATGCATGTTATGTGACTGCCTCAGAGAAGAAGCTGCAGGCTTTGAAGTCACATAGCTGACCTGGTTGCTCAGTCTGACCTTACAGGATGAACAGGTTGGGAAGGTCAGAGCTGACATAGGACCTGAGACTCCTTGATTTGCCCCACCCCACACTTCCAATGAACTTCTGGGAATTGAGGACACTATATAGGATAAGAACAAGGAAAATGTCCAGCATGGGCAAATAAAAAGCTGGATTTGCCTATCCCCTTTGTTCCAATTTGCTGTTAGACCACTTTACCTGCAGCTCTCCCCAACCATAGCTCCAAATGAACCCTGTGTTGTAGGGGATAAAGTTGGAACTGAATGTGGACCTTATGAAAACTCATCATTGATCAGCTGATGGGGCACCATTTACATAGATCATAATGTCAAACTTGACCCTAGCCATGCTGCAAAGCAACAGGGTCAGGACTCCCCAGAGTGGTAGTCACAAGGCTATAAAGATGAAATGCAGATTAGCTGGGTGACAGTGTGAACAATTTCACAACCAGCAACCTGGTTGATATTATGTCATCATCCAATCAACAGAGATTTTCATACACCACTATCTTAGTTAACATGAGTAGCATCAATATCCCAATAATGGGGGTCACCTCCTTTTGTACCACCAAAAACAACCACAACCCCCTCCCCCCATTACCAACAGATCCAAACTGAGTCCAGTGACCATGAACCTCAAGACCCAGCACCACCACTAATACCATCTCATTTCTGCTGAGGAAAGGACCAAGGTCACTACCAGGGATATGGGGCCATGAGCATGAGCCTGCTGCTTGGAGGTTCTTCCTGAGTTGCATCCTATCTAGGACCATTGTTTGCAGATACCAAGCAGCCAGGCCCTAGGAAAGGGAGAGGAGGCAACAAAGAGCATTTTAAAGGATCTTGGGTTCTTGTTCCTGCTCAGTTCCTGAATGGAGTTCTGAAATCCCAAAAGGAAGGTATCAGAGAGCAAGCACTGCAGAGAACTTACATGCTTTAGTCCTAAAAACTGCCTGTGAGACCACCTCAAGCTGGTCTAGGATTTTACAGCTGCCTCCTACCTTGGTCATAATTCACTTTATTTATTTATTTTTTTAGTTTTTGGCATTGGATATTGAACCCTGAACCTCATGCATTGCTAAGCACATGCTCTACCCAAAAGCTATACCTCCAGCCCCAAGGAGGTAGAGCCTACTCTAAATATCTAAGCAAAAATCAAACTAAACTAAACTAGACTCAAATGTTCACAACTGCATGGGACTATATCTCTTTACATAGCTTGACTCTTGCTTCTACCTGGGCACCATTGAAGAGGAGTGTGACCACCCGTTGTCCTTGCCCTGTTGTGGTGGCCCTTGGTGGGGTCCAGTTTATGTTGTTGTTATTGATGATGGACCTACTACATCTGAAAAGGATGTTATTAGTGGTGGTACTGAGTCTTTAGATTCATGGTCACTGGGCTCAATTTGGATCTGCTGGTGATGGTGTGGATACTGTGATTGGTGTTGGTGGAGTGAAAGGGGGTGATTGCCATTATTAGAATATTGATGATACTTGTGTGAACTGAGATAGTGGTGTATGAAAATCTGTTGACTGGATGATGACAGAATATCAATCAGGTGACTGTTGTGAAATTGTGAAATTTAACCCAGCTGATCTGCATTCCATCTTTATAGCCTGGTGAATACTGCTCAGGGGAATCCTAGCCCGATTGCTTTGCTTTTTTGACTTGTGGTCTGTGTGACTTGCACCCCATCAGCTGGAGTGGGAGTGGTGTCCTGAAACCTTTGATCACTCCACCTTGGCCTCAGAATACATTAAAAAAATTCATATCCTGAGATCGTAGAGCTGGACCTACTGAACATGACCTCCTCTGCATTCCCTCCATTTTAGCCCAAATGATTAACTCCCTCTTGTCAGCAACTCTGCTTCCTCTGCTCAGACTGCCTGTGCAGACTTTCCTATTTGCACACACCCCAATCCTAACCATTCCTGAAGACCACACATGCTGACTCTTCTTTCAGGAAGCCTTCTCTGATCCTCCAGTAGGAGGGACATCTGTCTCTCACCCCACACAATCAATCTTAGGTTGTAGTCACAGACACCATTGTCCCTTTCTAATTCCTTTAGCACCCACTGCAGCTAAACATCTTGACAGACACCCTCAGATATGGACACTGAATAAGAATATCACTATTGCTTATATCAAATGGCTTCATAAGGACCCCTGGCCTGGGGTTACATGAGACACTGCATATAGGGGCCTGGGGCAGCTGAGAAGTCACAGGCAGGCAAGAAAGCAAATAAGAACCTTCCAAGTCTTCAACTAAGTGGCTCCAACAAGTTGGAGGCCCGGGACAGGGGTCCTAGAGCCTGCCAACTCTGAATGATTGGCTCAGGTCCTCTGGCAGCCTCAGGATACCCACTGTCTGGGACCTCTTTCTGTTTGGCAGCTCCCCACTCCATAAGCCATCCTTGGGCCTTGCAAGTCTTCAGTAAAATGTCAGTCAAATATAGTTGTTTTCCAGGAAGAAAGGGGAAAGGAATCCCCCTTTCCTCCCCAAGATGGATTCCTCAGCCAGAGTGATGTTTACCTGGCCTTTCCCTGGTTTTGGTGTCAGACTGCTGGAGGCAAGAAGAGATAGGAGGCCAAGGAGGAACAGGCTGTCAGGGAGCTTTGGGGA